TTTTTTTTTTTTTTTAAAAAAAAGGGCGTATTTAAATGTATTACAGTTGCACAGCAGCGATTTACAAAATTATTTTTAATTTAGGCAAAAACAATAAAGCGTTCAAGAAGTCAGCTGATGATCACAGAAATCACTACTAATTATAAATTTCCTTTCCAAACCAAAACCAAAATACTTGTTTCACAAAAAAAAAGCTGTGTCGATCATCAAACGCCAAAATTATTTCATTATACTCTATATCTGATATAGGTGCTTCATTGAATTTTGACAGTCAATCAATATCATTATCAGTAACAACATGCATTAAAAATTAAAATTAGAATCAATCACGTTAAAATTATTTAGATTGAAAATTTTTTAAAAAATGTATTATCCAATTAGTTCAGTTGCTTTAAATCTGTACAAAAAAATTATAAAAAAGAAAATTTTTTCATTATTATGTGAAGAAAATTTATTTATTAACAAATAAATTCAATTATAATATAATCATTTTTAAAAGTAAGTTATGTTTATAAAAATTTCAACTTTTAAATATAAAATAATTATTATGACAAAACAATAAATTAAAGCTTTCAATTCTATTTTAACATCATTTTTCCTAATAACATGTAATTTTATTGTTAAAAAAAAAATTGGTATTTAGTGACATAAATATTTTCTCGAAATTCAAAAAATTTAATAATTTAATAATGATAAGGTAGTTACACTCAAAAATACCGTAAATTATCTTAAATAAAATCAAGAAAGTTGCCTTTAAAATAATTGACTATGTTGATTTAGTATCCATTATCTATGAAAAATAATTACAAAAATTATTCCTATATTAATAAATAAAGTAAGAAAAGAAGCTATTTAAAAATATTTTTCTTAAGCAGATAAATGAAAGGTGGTCAGTAGAAAAGGGCAAAATCCAAAGTTTTGGTCAAAATTTTTTTATTTCCAATCATGGACACGTGAACAAAGTTAGCTTAATGACTAAAACAAATAAATGTTAAATATAACAGCAAGCTTTGATAAACAGTAAAATTTTATGGGAATTGCTAGTTTTTTTTTAAATATGTTACATGATGTACAAGTAAATTTATTAATTGGCTGATGGCCGATTTTTTTAACTTAGCTAATTTTTGATCGGCCAAACTTAAAATTTTATCACAAAAGATATTTAAAAAAATTATTTTTCAAGCATATTTGTTCAAAATAATCTTATCTAATGAAATTTTATTTGCAAGTATTAAATTTAATCACACATTTTCGATTTTAAAGAAAAAAATCACTGTATTTATTTTTAATGAAGTGATACAAATAAAAGAAAAGATAAGTAAATTACCATGGTCAAGAATAAAGATGCCAATAAAAAAAAGGAATAACAATGGAATAATGGAAAGTAATAGAAGATGAAAGGGAGAGTAAAAAGAGTAATGAGTGATAGGAAACAAGCAAAAAGGAGTAATAGGATACGATGGGAGATGAAAAGGAGCGATAGGAGATGAAAAGGAGTGATGGGAAGTAAACAGGAGAGAAAAGAAATAATGGAAAATAAAAAGATGTAATAGAAAATAATGGGAAAAGAAAAAAATGGAATAATGAAGTAATAGGAGGTGAAAAATGATGAGAGACAAAAAATAAAGAATGATCATGATAGGAGGTTGGGTAGCAAAGGATAATAATAAAAAATAAAACCATAACTGATAAAGTAAAAAAAAAATGAATATATAGAAAGTAAGTAACGGAAATTGGCTAAGTAAGTAACGTAAAGTCACATGATTTATTTACGTTACTCCCCTTAATATAAGGCACGTAACGTAAAGTGAAATTTTTTTTATCTTACGTTACATATCTTATATGGTTCACGTGACAACGTAAGTGATTTTTTGTGGCACATCACGATCAGCCTATTTGTTTGTTTACATTTTACATAACTCCCTCGTTTTTTTCTTTTAATGTCAAAATGTCAAACAAAATCTTATAAAAAGATAGAAAGTCAAAGACAATTAAGTTTGAACAATTATTTAGGTATAAAATTTGTTTATTAAACTGCCTGTCATATATTAACTGTTTTATTTTTTGGTTATTTTGTATACAAAAAATTTAGAGTATAGTTTTGATATCTTTGTTAAAGTTAATTGTCTTTTGGAGATAAGTAAAGCTGTTTAATAGGTATGGTACTATTGGATTACTCAAAGATCTATTTTTACTGGGTTTGGCTTTCATATTTGTGGAGTTGTAATTATTTTCATAATAATATTAGGACGCGTTACGCGTAACGCGTTTATTTACTGTATTTAATTTATAAATAATAAAGACATTAATTAAAGCTTATCTGTTATGTTTTTATTTGTTTTATGTTTATTAATAAATTATTAAAATAAATAATTTTTATAATTTTAAAAGTATAAAATCAATTTTCTTTTATATTTAAAGGCATAAGAAAATCAACTCTAATAGTATGAAAAATTCTTTTTTAAAATAAATTTTTTACCAAGATAAATATGCAAAAATTGATAATATAAATCACGTGGTGCTAGATATGGTGAGTAACGTAAGGTAAAAAAATTTATCTTACGTTCCGTGTCTTAATTAAGGGCAGTAACGTAAATTAACCTAAATTAGTAACTTTACGTTACTCACTTAGCCAATTTCCGTTACTTACTTACTACCTACTGAAAAAAAATAAAGCTAGTAAGAAACGAAATATAAGATAGAAACAAAATAAATAAAAAATAAATAAAAAATAAATAAAAAATAAAAAATATACCTTTATTAATTGTAGAACCAGAAGAATTATAAGATCTAAAAAAAATGAAATAAAATTAGTGAAAAATGAAATATAAGACAGAAACAAAACGTAAAGTAAGAAAAATAACTGAACCTTAATTGCAGAACTGGAAGGACTAAAGGACCTAATAATAATGAAATAGAGTTAGTAAGAAATTGTAAGAATGTAAGTTAGAAATAAAAATAAAAGAAAAAAAGAAAAATACTTTGAAACTGAAAGAACCAAGGAAACAAACCTCGAATCTATACTGAAAATGAGATTCGATAAACAAATAAATAGTATAACACGATCATATTGCCAACCTGGCCAATCAAAAATATCAAATCTGCCATGTGATCGAATCAGGCGATGTTTAGCAATTCCCAAATTTATTATAATTAGATTTAATGTTCTGAAAATAAATATGAAGTACTAATTGAAAGATAAACAAAAAAAAAGAAGGAAATTCTGTATCTGCTAAGAATGTCCAGGTTACTTCTGCATTATATGAGATCTCTGATTGAACCTAAAGAAAAAAATATGAAGAAAATAAATAATTTTTAATTTAAATTTAACATACACAGTGAAATTTGATAAACCAGATCTTTGATAAATCGGATTTGGGCCTAAATCGGACGTATATTAAATTAGTTTCAATATACCAGAGTTTACTAGTAAAAGCTTGATATTCACTATAACGGATCAATTTTCTAACCAGCTATAGTATATAACCAGGATCACATGATCTGCTACATTTGAAAACCAATTAAATTGATTTCACGTGATCCAATATTCTTTTTGGATCTTTTTTTTTTGGTCTTTTTATAATAATATGTTCGACAAAATTATTTAGGTATTTATAGTTTAGATATGCAAAATTTGGTTAATTTAAAGAAAAAAATTATTTCTGATAGTAAGAAAAGGCAGGAGAAGGTTAGATTAGAAAACTTTAGTTGTTTTTAGTATGTAATATTTTGATAAATTAAAATAAAGAGTTTTTTAAAGTTTTTAATTTTTATTACATCGCATAAAAATTTGATATATCGGATTATCACATGATTTTATATGAAACCTGGTATATCGAAATTTTTTTGCTATGGATATTTTTAGTGTAACTGATAAATCCGGTTTATCAAATTTCACTGTGTATTTACATAATGGTGTAGTTAGCCAAAAAATAATTAGCCGCAACGTGATCCACCCAGCTCAAGGTGTAGGAATTCCAAGTGATTTTCTGTGATTAAACTGGATCTGAATGATTGGTAATCAGAAATTTGGCTCAACTTTACCATTATTATATTTACCATCAAACTATTTTTTTTTTAATGTATAATTTAATAAATATATTTATTAAATACATTAATTTTGTTACAATTTAAAACATCCATACAATTCATTATATTTATTTTTCATATAATTATAAATACTTTATTTAATCATAAAAAATATATTCCAATAAAATATCATACTATAGTAATGTTAAAGAAAATAAATAGTAAATAATAAAGAAATTTATATCCAAGATCCCTTTCCTTTCTTTAATTCAGTTACTTTTATCTATAAGTGAAAAATAAATTATTAAATAATATTATTAATAAAATAAATAATATAAAAAGTTAATGTATATAAGTACCTAGGTCTAGTTTAGTAAAATCTATTGCTTCTATTGATTCTATAATATATAAAAAAAAATAATTATATACATCAATAAAATCTTTAAAGAATGCTTTTGTAAAGTTAAATTAGGAAATTAATTACCTGAATATTCTCCAAATGAATTATCATCATCCTTGTTATCAATAGCATTTTTTGGTTCTGGAAGATTTTTAAAATCTAAAAGTCTACTTGTGTAAACTGCTTGAGGATTTGTAGTATATGAAAGAGTAGGTCCAGTATATAATGATGATGATGTTGTTAACTTCTCATTAATTTTATCTGCTTCTTCAATTTGCCTTTTGATTTCAGTATTTGATTCATTCAATAAATTGTGTAATAAAAAATATAATTCATTAGTGTTAGGTCGTTTTAAAGGATCAGCATCCCAACATTGTTTAATTATGTTTAAAATTAATTGAGGAATTTTATAATTTGATTTTGGCCTAAGTCCTTGACAAATGCTAATAGTTAAGAATTTATCATGAGCAATATCATGATAAGGAGGAAACCCTGTACAGACTTCATATGCAATAATTCCAAATCCATATATATCACTTTCTTGAGTATACTCTTTTCCTCTTAAAACTTCTGGTGCTACATTCATTTTGAGATGGTTTTACATTTGCTGGTCGACATAATCCTAAATCAGTAATTATAGTATAATATTCTTCTTTTAATATATTGCCAATATGAAAATCACGATGAATTAACCTTTTTTGATGAATACAAAGGAGGCTTTCTGTAAGATTTTCTAAAATATACAACTTTTCATCCCATTTTGTTGAATTAAAACTATTATTTAAATGTTGTCTTAAACTACCATTTATTACATAATTCATTACTATTATAAAATTTCCAGATTCTGGATCTTTAGTAATGCCAAAACAGTGTGCTATACAACTTTTCATTGGAATCATAGTATGGGTTTCAATCTAAAAAAGAATCCATAATAATAATAATTAATAGACAGTTTAACATATATAATAGGACAATATCTTGAATTTACTATATATAAATAAGTAACTTACTTCTCTTAAAAAATCGGATGTAATATCTTGAGAATTATGTAAACATTTTAAAACAACTGGAAAATTCTCATATTCCTTAGACCAACATTTACTTCTTTTCCATTTATTATTCTCAAAATCCCATTTATTTATATATCCATCTTTCCAAATTGCTTTATAAATAGTTCCAAATCCTCCTTTTGCCAAGTATTCAACATTTTCAAATCTATCATATTCAATCCATTCTAAAACTTCTTCATAAACTTTAGCTTCAAGTTGTACTTTTTGTATAAACTTGTCAACTTCATGATTTCCACTGGTCCAATTTTTAAAATTTTGTTGAAATTTACATTGACACCAATTACGAGAAGCTCTAGGTTGCTTACATTCTTTGCATAAACCATTTTTTTTATAACATATTTTTAATTCCTCATTTAATATTAACTTATCAATTAACAAACTTTGTTCTTCAGTTAGGTCTTTATGGTTAAAATCTTTTATTTGCTCAAATGCATCATCATTGAGCATAAATTCTTCCATATTGGATTAATAAATGTGACTTCAATTTTATATCTAAACGGAAAAAAAAAAAATTTTTTTTTTTTTTTTTTTTTAAAAAAAATAAGGGGCGTATTTAAACGTATCAAAAGTTGCACAGCAGCGATTTACAAAATTATTTTTAATTTAGGTTCAAGAAGTCAGCTGATGATCACAGAAATTACTACTGATTATAAATTTCCTTTTCAATCAAATTCCAAAATACTTGTTTCACAAAAAAAAAGCTGTGTCGATCATCAAACGCCAAAATTATTTCATTATACTATATAGGTACTTATTGAATTTTGAAAAATACAGTACAGTCAATCAATATCATCATCAGTAACAACATGCATGCATTAAAAATTATAATTAGAATCAATCACGTTAAAATTATTTAGGTTGAAAAATTTTTAAAAAAATGTATTGACCAATTAGTTTTAGTTACTATAAATCTGTACAGAAAATTTTAAAAAGAAGTAATTTCCATTATTATTATGTGAAGAAAATTCGTATTAACGAATGAATTCAGTTATGATATAATCATCATTAAAGTAGGTTAAGATTATAAAAGTTTCAGCTGCTTGTAAAATAAAAATAATTAATGTTATGAAAAACAATAAATTAAAATTTCAATCTATTATAACATCATTTTTCCTAATAACCCTAATAACATAAATTATTGTAAAAACAAATTGGTATTTAATGACGCAAATATTTTCTCAAAATTCAAAATTATAAAAATTTAATAATGACAAGGTAGTTACGCTCAAAGATATTGTAAATTATCTTAAATAAAATCAAGCAAGTTGCCTTTAAAATAATTGACTGCGTTATTACCTATGGAAAATATTAAACTACAAAAATTATTCTTATATTAATAAACGAAATAAGAAAGGAAGTTATTTGAAAATATTATAACTTTGCTTAAGCAGATAAATAGGAGGGGTTGGGAAATCCAAAAATTTGGTCAACAATTTTTTAATGCCGATCATGACACGTGAACAAAGTTAGCTTAATAATATAATCAAACAAATAACTTATTCGGTGACGAAGAATCTCTCACTGTCCCCTTACAAATGCTTTCTCCGAGGCTTCTTTGTATCAATCTGATACAGAACCAGCATCAAGCTCAGGTATCAAGATTTTCAAAGCAAGTAATGTAAGCTACAAGATATTCTTTATTTAAATTATTTAAATATTGGTTAAATTTTTTTTTCTTGAAAATTATTTTCCAATACTAACAAAATTTTAATATTTGATGGGATAAATTATCAGAAAAAGTTCAATTAATTTAAATAATTTAAATGTATTATATGAAAAGTAATTACTATTATGGTATATCTAATGTTTATATAAGACAAAAGGAAAGAATTTCACATTCAATTAAATCTTTTACCATTTATCTCTTTCAAATCGGTTGTAAACTTGTTTGTTTAGATTAAGTTACAACCCAGTTCTTTTTTTTTTAAATTTTACTTTACTATTTCGATAACAAATCAACTTTTTTTTTTAAAAAAAAAAGATAAAAATTCACTTTTGAATAGTGAAAAAAAAAATATTTTAATATATAATTAGTAATAAATTGATTGTTAAAATATAAAGTCATTTACCAAATTACCGCAAATCTATTTTGATCATTTTTTCCATTTTGAGTTAAAAACCAAATTTAAGGTAAAAAAAAACTTACTAACAAACAAACAATAATAGAAAAATTTCTCGTGTTTTTTCTTATTTCAGCCAACGTATCTGCTCGTCTATTCTAAAGTCAAACATAAGAGTTCATCATTAATTTGTATGATTAATAATAATAAAACAAAATAATTTTTTTTATAGAGTGGACTTATTGGATTTGCATCAGTGATGTATCAGTTTGGTCATTCTGAATTTAATGGAAAAAAAAATTTATAATTGAACAGTGATCGGGAATAAGAAAAATATGGTGTAAAGATTTACTTATCAGCATTCCATTTCGATCCATTCCTTCCGTTTCAAAGCTCAAGATCGATACTGAAATAAATAAGGTAAAAAAAAAAGTATAATTAATTAAATAATTGAAATAAAAAGAAAAGAAAAAAAATAATAACTAAAAAATGTCACCTACACATAGGAAAATCAATGGAAATTTTTTTTAACCAATCTTTTTAAGGTTGCTCAATTTTTGGCGTAAAATAAATATTCTCACAAAGGAATATTTATTTTTATCTCTGGCAAATTACGGAACTTGTGCATTATGTATTTGTGCACAAATAAACAAAGAAGTAATAAAGATTTGCTTTTTTTTAAACAGATATATAACATTATTTCTTTGATTACTTTTAAAATAAATTTAACGAATAATCAAGTGATTGTATATTTTAAAAGCTGATCATTACGACAAGGAATTACGATCGATCAACATCGTTTCAACATCTTTTAAATAAAGGCGCTATCAAAAAGGCTCTTAAAAAGGCAAACATTTTCACAATATTTGTAAGAAGTTTATTAGGTAAAATGTTATTAATATTAAAGAATTCGTAAATCTGTCAATCACATGATACACATACTGATCAATTTAAATTAAAGTTTATATTATAATGCGTAATCTACGATGCGTAATCTACAATACGATGCCAAGTCTAACGATATTAATGTAATAATAGAAGAATTGATTTATTTGCATCAATATTAAGTATTTCTTTTTTTCGTCATTTTATTTATTATTTTTTTTTTCACGTGAAAATTTTCACAAAAATAAAATACCATACCCTTATTATATGAAACAATGAAATATTATTCCCTCCCAAATACAACCATTCAATTTTAACAGCGTAAACTTTTGCGACATAATCTGTCTTGATATTTTTTATTCATGGAAAATTATTCTAAACAAGAAGATAGGGAAACGGAAACGAAAAACCATGAAACAATAATTTCTTCCTCCCAGACCTTCCTTCCTTCCATACCATCCACTGAGGAACTTGAAAACATATCAAAAACAAGTGACTTGATACACAGATTAAAAGAATCAAATTTAGGATTGACAGATGATGACTTCGATGTTCTCAAATATCATAAAATAATCGGGCGAACGTTCCTTTTATTAACGGAAGAAAAACTCGAAAGTCGAGGAGTGAAATTAGGACCAACGCTGAACATCATATGTTCGATTAATAAGATTCGGAAGAAAAACTCAAGATCAAGATCATGTGAGTATTTATTATTATTGTCTTTTGCATCGTTGTGTTTTATTGAATTTGATCTTAATACATTATATTTTTTAGCTTCGAATTCTCCTACTCGACCTACTCGCATGAATATAGACGATGATCTAGATGACATTGATATTCTCCAAAAAAAATTCAAAGAGTTAGTTGAGGATAAGTTTAGGTCTATATCCGGATTGAAATCAAAAGTTAATTTTTCATTATTAGCAAAGGATGTTTATAGAGTGTGCGGGGAGGATACTATTAGTGTGAAGACTCTTAGAGAATTTTACTTTTATAATACAAAACTCTCTAAACATACTTATCCAATAGTTAGAAAATGGGTTGATCATAAAATGAGAGTAAATATTAGAAGTTATAGAACTTGGTTTAGTTGAATGAATCACTTTATCATCATATCTACTTTTCTCTAATCTTGTTTTCTATATAAAATAAAAAATTATTAAAATTTATACAAAATAAACAAAGAATGTATGATATTTTAGTTCTTTTCTTATAGTAACATGATATTGAGTAGTTTTTAAAAAATTCATTTTTTCTCGTCAGTAATGTTGACTTAATTAAATAAAATTCTTAAATTGAAACTTTTATAAATAACAATAAAATGAGACATTTAAAATAAAAAATTTCTATGAGTATACTCAGTATAGTATAAGTCTATAGGTCCGCCAAATCAATGTTTATTAATAAAATCAATTAAGAAAAAACTACAGCACTTACGCTATTTATTTGTTTCGTTAATATTAAATGGCTCAATAAAAGATAAATCTAAAAAAAGATTAAAAAAATTAAACTTTAAAATTGGACTAATATTTTTGAAGTTATTATTATTATATTTTATCTTTTCAAGTTCTACGGATTATAGATGTCTCATCAAGGCGCAGTAATTTAGTTTTTTATATAATATACAATATATATATAAAAAAACCATCCTTATTCGATTTACATGTGATGAATCTGCTAATTATAGATTTGTTATTTTGTGACAAAGAAATTTCCATTTCGAAAGTGTGGAATGGACGGAGTTTGATAAAACAATACTTACCGGATAAAGGCAAATCGGGTTACTTCAACAGGTTTAAAACGTGAATGGCGTTGAACCTTGATTTTGTACCATTTATTTACATTAATGGAAGATCGTCTTTTCACTACTTTAGAATAATTGTTTACCCCTTATATCGCAAAAAAAAAAAAAATATTATTGTACGAAAATGTAACGAAAAACAGGATGCGAATTTTTTGTTATGTTAAATCAACCTGAACTAAAAATTCACCATTCAGAATGAAAAGAATTTTCATAAATACTAAATAATAAGAGGAGAAATAAATTTATTATGAAATTCGCACCAATTTCATGTTATTTTGTATCATATTTAAATATTTTTGAGCCAAAAAAAAAAAAAATTAATTGAATAAATCATATTATTATATTTTTTCGAAATAAAATTAATTTAATAAAATTATTGGTAACTCCTGAAATCTTCGGGTAGTATATTGGTTTGGAACATCAAAATAACGTGGGTCCATGGGTCCATTCCAATATACTGTTTAATCCTTATAAAAAGTTTTTTTTTTCAAATATGATCTATTTAAGGAATAGTCTTGTCCCGGAAATTTTTGGGTAAAATTGGTGTAACAAATATGGAATTTGATTTTGTAATATGCAGGGTCAGTTTATATGTCGTGAGTCATAAAACTTGTTTAAATTGAAATGTTATTTTAGTATTTTACACGTTTAATCCACGAGACCATGGGAATATAATAAATCAATTTAAGCGGACGACAATGAAAAAGGATTTTTTTCACATGAAAAAGGAAAATATATAAGTACCCTTTCGTCATTTGACTAACGAATGGCGTTCACATATATTATGTTAATGAAATTATTATATATTGTTTCTGATTATCAAATCAAATAATAAATCTTGAATCAGAACGGAAATGGAAACTATGAAATAATAATGTCTTCCTCCTTTCCTTCCTTACCATCCGCTGAGGAAATCGAAAAAATAACAGATACTAGAGACTTAATTTATCGTTTAAAACAATCTAACTTGGGATTAACCGAAAATGATTTCGAGGTTCTCAAATACCATAAAATTATTGGGCGAACGTTTCTCATGTTAACGGAAGAAAAACTTGAAAATCGTGGTGAAAAATTGGGACCATCTTTAAACATCGCGTATTCGGTTAATAAGATTTTGGAACAAGATACGAAAAGTGAGTAATTATGATATTGTCATTTGCGTCGTTGATGGATTAAATTTGATCTCTAATAAAGTGTATGATATTTATAGCTTCAAAATCTTCCAAAAATAAGAAACGTAATATAGAAGATGACCTTGAAGATATTGATATACTCCGTGAAGAATTTAGAGAAATTGTAGAGGAAAAATTTAAAACTACGACTGGATTAACTACAAAAATCAATTATTCGTTATTACTTAAAGATGTTCATAGCGTGTGCGGAGAGGATACTATTAGTGGAACAACCCTTAGAGACTTTTTTTTAAATAATACAAATCTCTCTAAGCATACGTATCCAATAGTTCGACAATGGGTTGAACACAAAAAAAGAATTTACAGTAATAAATATAAAGCGTATACTTTTCATTAATTCTGTAGTTTATTTCATCTGTAGTATAAATAGTTTTTTAATGAACCCATAGTAACTCCATCATGTAATAATACAAATAATAATAAATTTTCCATAAATTTCATAAATTTTGTATTTCATTCAGGTAATTTAACATTTGTTTAATCTCTCTCGTCTTGTTTGTACGTATTAATTACAAAATTGTCAATGTAAAGTCGGAAAATTTCACATTTTATTTAAATAATAGTTTACAAATGATACTATAAAAATATACGTGGGAACGTTTGACGTGAATTAGTTTAAAAAAAGGACGGAAATTATTCTGTTTATTAGCTGCACTAAATGACGTGGAAGGTTCTTCTCGGTTCTGTTTCGGTTCCTCTTCGGTTCTGTGGTAGAACATGTATTAAAAAAAAATCTTTGTTTCGTTATTAAGTAATGGTGAGCCTTGATCTACCCTAATTTGATGTTTTTCGAATCAATCGGTTCGGTTCGAATTTTTAAAATTGTTAGAACAGTTCTCAGAATGTTCCAACCTCAACCTTTACTAGGTTTCAGAACCTACTCGGAACTGTACCTCCCTATCCCTAGCTGCAATTAAGGTTTCTTATTACAAAATTGGTGATTTCAAATCTAGCGGATTGGTTCCGCCTTAAAAAATCCGTAAATAACGAACAGATGCTTTTGTTAAATTAGAATATAATTGTCCTGGGCGAAGTGAAGGACTAGATATTATTTAAATTTTGTGATCGCTGTCTACTACGTGATCGTCAGCCAATGTAATCGCGCTCCGAATTTACCGTTGTATGAAAAACGGTCAAATTATTCAAAGAAAATAATTACTTTTGTACTGAACTTCATCAATATATGTATAAAAAAAAAATATTTTGATTATAAAGTATTGGTACTATTAAGGCAAACAAGAAAATTTTGTATACTTATTAACTCCTGTCCTATCGGGATTGTTTCTTAACAGTTAAATTTTGAGTATTAGAAGTAGACTCCATTAATTTGGAAATTCTGTGTCACGAAAATAGAAAGTTAATAGACTTCAGGTGAAAGTTGATTTTATAAAACAATAACTTCAATATTTCTTTCTTTTTTTTTTTTTATTAAGAGCTTAAAAAATCAATCTAATGACGATTATAAATAATTATTAGGTTATAATTATAATTATTTTTCGCAATTCCTCTCTCATGTTCTTTTTTTTTTTAAAGAATAATAAATCGAATAGATAACTAATTTTTATAAATTTTTAGTGATGTTTACAAAAATATCTCAGAATTAAGAGACGTGTCTATTCAAAATTCGTTTGTGTAATTGTGTTTATCCAAAAAATTACACTTATTAGGAATAATTAATTACGCATTAATTTATTCCGATACTGTTATGAACTGAATTTATAAATCAGATAATTATTATTTGTAATATTTTGAACAAGTCCGTCACATCTCAAAAGGTTATAAAGGTTTATTTAGTATCTACCCGCATGACTTATTAATATTATCAAACGATTTATATTGGCCAAAATTAAAAATTTCGGTAATATTCACTGCAAATGTATATTTTTTTTAAACACAATAATACACAATAATTTATTATTAGGATTTTTACTTCGAATAGACTTTAAATTTATATAAATAGCTTATAAATAAAGCCTATTTGAGACGAGACAAAAGTTAATTTCTTGGATAGACAAAAAACGTGCATTACAAGTATGCGTTTTATAATGGAGTAATTTCAAATTTTAATTTGAAATTTGTCTCGTATATTGCTCAATTACAAACTGATTTTTATTTATATAAAGAAAATGATAACTCTATAATCAGTGTTGAACAAAATAAATATACTTAAAAATATATGAAAAATAATAAATAAAATAAGTAAATCAAAATATATTTTATCATCTTCTATGACAACCTATGAATATTTTAATTACTATGAAGTTAGAATAATATTACTACTAATGAAATAACATTCACATTCACATTTAATTAAACTTACGTTTGTTCATACAGTAAAATTCAATATTCAATCAATTCTAAATGATTCATAATCATCGCTATTGTCTGACTTTAGAACATATTCTGTAAATGATTAGTAATTGATATAAATAATTTGATAGATAGCCAAGTAAATTAGTCTATTATAGTTAAATTATGTTAATTTAAATACCTGGATATTTTTTGCTTGATATATTTTCATATGACTTATAATAATCATCAGGATTCTTTGGTTCAGGAAGATTTTTATAATTAAATGGTATACTTTTATAAATGGCTTCAGGATGCTTTTTATTTATCATAGACGAATTATTAAGTAATGATTTATTAATTTTTTCAACTTCTTCAATTTGTTCGATTAATTCCGTTCGAGTTGATTCTTCTTGATTCTCTTCATTCTTTTTATAATACTTATTATATTCTTCTTGCCATCTACGAAATGTTCTTGTAAGTTCTTTTATGTCTGGTCGTTTTAATGGATCTGCATCCAAACATCTTTTAATTAAATGTAAAATTATTTGAGGTACTTTAATATCAAATTCGGGTCTTAGCCCTTCACAAATATTTACTGCTAAAAAACCGTTATGAGCAATATTATAATATGGAGGCGATTCTGAAATTACTACATATATAATTATGCCAAAACTGTAAATATCAGATGCTTGAGTGTAACATCCTCCTCTTAAAATTTCAGGTGCCAAATAAGATACAACACCATACATTTCTTCCTTATTTTCTAATTCATTATAATTTGCTGGTTTACATAATCCCATATCAGTTATACATGGGATTGAATCACATACTATATTTCCAATATGCAAATCTCGATGAATTAATCTTTTACCATGAATTTTAAGAAGTCCACTTGAAATACTAAATAAAATATCAAATCTAGATTTCCACATCTGCAAATTCAAATCCAAATTCACTTGAGGCCATTTACCTATTTTATATTTTATCTTTTTTCTTTTTTTGTTCAAATAATTTTGTAGATTCCCCTTTTCAGCATAATTCATAACCATAATATAGTTTTTTGTTTCGGGATGTAAAGATATTCCATAACATCTAATAACTTGTAGCGGTGACTTGACTCTATGTATTTTCAAGTGGATTGTAATCTAATTGTCGTAAAATAATTAATTAGTAAAAATAATAATTTAAATCATATTAAAATATACAATGTAAATTATACCTCATTAATAAATTCCATTGTAATATTTTGTGATTTACTTAAACTTTTAATAGCTACAAGTTTACTTTTATTAAGTCTACTCCATTGATTCTTACCCGTATCCCAGTGTGAAATATAACCATCTTTCCATGTTGCTTTATGAACTTTACCAAATCCACCTTCTGCAATAAATACAGGTTTATTAAATCTATTATATGGTATCCACTCTAATATTTGACAACAATTTTTTGCTGATAATTGAGTATTTTGAATGAACTTATCAATATCATCATTACCACTAGTCCATTTATCAAAATTTTGTTGAAATCTTTTTGAATTACAAGTTTGACACCAATTCTTTCCTGTAATTATTTCATTACATTCCTTACATCTTCCATATCTTTCCTCATTATTTTTTGAAATACAATTCTCACAATATTTACTTTCTGTATCACTTATTTGTTTGCATCGAATGCATTCATATATTAGTTCTTTTCCATCTAATGGATACATGACAAAATTTAAATTAAAAATTTTATTGTTAAAAATCTTTTTATCTTTGTAAATTTATCTACTGAAAATTTTTGTTGGAAATAATGGAACGATTTAGAACGTTTATACAGTATTTTTATATACCGTACTTCAGATGATCGACGTGATGTGCAATATCAATATCACATGCAATCTATACCATTTTTTCCAAGATAACAAAGATAGTTACACTACCTCATTTTAAATAATAAATAATTAAACAGTTACAAATATAGCAAAAATGAACCTTTAACAAGATTAATAGAAAACTCATTCGGGATTAGAGTTATAAGCCTTTTTTTTTTGGCAAGAACCAAAATAAAGAATAAAAGAATAAAGTAATGGTCTCATTCATCAAAACATTTTGGCGTATGTGGCCAATGAAAATGATCAATATTTATTATCAATCAAATTATTGCCGCTTTCAATTGACGTTGATCATTTAACACAAAATTTCTAAGCCACGCCGATCACAATTTTTTCTCTCCTACTATTTGTAATAAATGAATTATTTTTTTTTTTTTGTTTGATCCGATAAATAGACTCTTTACATACTGTATACTCTGAATTCGAAGTTTTTTTACTAGAAACAATTTAGTATATTTACTGCTTAACTTTGATATTGCACTTTAGATCACACTTTTAGATCACACTTCGATCTGTAACGCTAAAATGACACTGTAAGTACTAATAAAAAACTCTTGTTGTATTTAAAGACAATAATCAAGACTTTTAAAGTTATATATCATATATTTATTTGTAAAAAATTGTTTTTGGACGCTTAATAAAAATACTAATAATCATATTTTAACTATAACGATAAAAACAAGTCAAGAGTACGTATTATAGGTTTTGTTGCATACTTGTTAGCATGTAATAATTATGTATTATGTATAGAGTGCTTAATAAAATACTAATAATCATATTTAATTTATTTTTTAACTATAGACGATAAAAACAAGTCAAGAGCACGTATTATTAGTAGTTTTATAGGGTTTGTTGCATATTTGTTAGCATGTAATAATTATGTATTGAAACTCTTTTTTTTTTAATTAGTCTACGCATTTTATTAAATTATTACCGTATAGCACTGACTAAAAGATCCCCCTTTGACGTTTCCCCATTATAATATACCCGGGTATGATATGTGGTTTAGAATTACACACATGTTCCATATAAAATGCCCGGTTATAATTCAATTTTTAAAATAGATAAATAATTTATACCCTGAGTATTTTACTATTTGAATAAATTACATCACAAATTTTTATTGCTAAATTTTCATCATGACTTACTTCATGATATGGAGACAATCCAGAAATTATTTCATACGTAATTATACCCAAAACTATAAAATATCAGATGCCTGCTTGGTATAATTTTGGTTCAGGTGCAACATAAGGTAAAATGCCATAGACATTATTTTCTGATGTATTGTAGTCTGCAGGTTTACATAATCCCATGTCAGTTATAACAGTATTATACTTGAGCTTTAATAAATTCCTAATATGTAAATCTTGGTGAATTAATTCGATTCCATATGGTAAATGGATAATCTTACCATTCAGGGTTAATTTATGAACCATAGTGAGTATTAGGTACCCACACTTTGTACTCATGATTACTCAAAATATAAAGTATTTGTTTAAGAGAAAGCAATATGATATTACAATATGTCAATTTAAGTCATATTATTTACAATAAATTTATCATACTGACAAAAGCTGATTTATTTTGCAATGCTTAATTTGTATTAATGTATCAGTTTTATCACTTTTTATTTGTATTTTTAGAAATATTTTCTGAAAAAATGTATTATACGCAAATAATTATAATTATTATCAAGAAAAAATAAGCATTATTATAATGAAACATACTTAATATAAATATTAAAAAATAAATCATCTTTTGTCAGTTTGACCCACTATTACAAAAAAAAAAAATAAACTTTGAATTTTTAGTTTGTTATTTTTTGTAATAATGAGTCAAATTGACAATTAAATTTGCATTAATATATCAGTACAAGTCATATTATTTTTTGTATTTAAGATGTCTAATTTCTTACTTTTTTTATAAATCCTATTTGCTTTTTTTATATTTTTTTATAAAAAAAAAAATCCTATTTGCTTTTTTTTTATATTTTTTGAGTTAAAAAAATAATTAATAACTAATCATCATGAGTACAGGTGAAAATTATATTGGTTATGAAGCTCTTGTTTATTACTTAAATGAATCAAAAAATTTGTCATACCATGGATTTTTGACACTTAACCAAAATATTATTATTGCTTCATTAACTCAACTAACTACTAACTCTTCATTAACATCAGCCAAGTGGCAAAGCTTTAATATTACTTGGATTAAACACTTTTTGTATAAAGCAAAAGATTAATTGGATTCAAATACTTTTATTGAATTAAAAAAAAAGGTATGTTTTGTTTTTATTTTGCAAAGGGTGGGTAACTCCTAATACTCTGCGTAGTCACTTTGTGAGAATTACTGGTCTCGTTCACTTGGTAACCACTCCAGGCTCTCATTCCAGGCACCCTAACTTTGTTGTTAGTAAAGTCTGCTAATTCTGGAGGAGGAATTGGCTATGTTCCTTCTTTACTACTAAATAAAAATTTAGCATACAATTAACAATCTGCTTTCTCATAATAGGTAAATACAGAAGACTCGCAACGTAAGAAAGAGTTGCAAATATTCTGGCAAGAAGTTATTAAGGAATACAAAAAAAGTCAGAAAATTATTAAAGAATGTGAAAAAGAAAATACTTTTGCCACTGATACATTTCTTCCAAAAAAGTCAGTTAAACATTCTGAACCTTTACAACAAGATGCATCTTTACTTTCAAAAAATACAGTTTAAAAGTTCTGTTAAAAATCTTTCTAAATCTGAACAACTAGATTTATCTAAAAAGAATATTAAACTTACTAATTTCTGTTATGATATATTTCATGAACTTGAAAATGAATCTTATGCTAATTTATTTTCTGAAAAGAATATTAAAAATAAGGTTATAAAACATCCAATGGATCTATTTACTATAAATTTAAAATTAGAAAATAATCAATACAAAAATTTAAAAGAATTTGAAAAAGATATTCGTTTAATGTTTCGTAATTGTTATACATACAATGATGTTAAAAGTAAAGAATATTGTTCAGGTGAAAAATTAGAATCTATTTTTAATGAAAAATGGAATGAAAAAATTATTCTTCAAGATAGACAAACAAGAGAACTGAGAAGAACAAGGGAATGATGCAGATCAATCTTGGAAGAAACAAAGACAAATTTTAGAACAAAATAAAAATAATTTAATATATAGACATGTTATTAATGATGCACTTCTTGTTGCTTCAGCATATGAAAGCCTTGTTGTAGGTAATATTGTTAGATGTCAGTTCTTATACGCTTAAAAATAAGCTATGCATTAAAAAATGTTTATATTTAATAAAGCAGAAGGTAATTTTAAAGATCAACGTACAGTATATGTTAAAATCAATCCAATCAGATGTGAATAGAGTATCGCTTCACACTGGCACATACAATCAGACACAAATAAGGGAAAGCAGTATTTAATAAAGCAGAAAGTAATTTTAAAGATCAACGTACAGTATATGTTAAAATCAATCCAATCAGATGTGAATAGAGTATCGCTTCACACTGGCACATACAATCAGACACAAATAAGGGAAAGCAGATTAACCATATAAAACCAAACTTAAAATTAAGGTGTATATTAAAGGGTAAACATTTTATTAATTAAATTCTTCACACATGTTTCTATATTGAATAATGCTCTTAATTAAGGTCTAATTACAGGTCTATATATACATAAAATTCCAAACTAAAAATGTTTAAAATGTTTGATATGTACCATATATACCATATGTGCAATATGTGCAATATACTGTATTTAATATATTTAATATATTAAACATTTCGAACATTGATCTTGACGTTGATCATTCATCGGTAATTTTATTTATTTATTTATTTTATGTGAAGACGGACAGACTATTAACAGGACATATACGTAACCGTGCTATCCTACTTCTAGCTATCATCCCCCCGAAGACGGACCCGAACTTCTTTAAATCTAACGAACCAGAATGATCCCCTCCCCTACCAGAAAGGAACCAATGAACCAATTAAAAAGCGAACTAATTAACCCGTATTTTTCTTTCAACCATAAAGGTCGCCACCTGTAAATACTGTCATAGGTGGAATGATTCACACTATTTGTAATTGTTAATATCTAACTTAATATGAACCAAAAATTCAAAAAATGAATTACAAAAAAGAAACTAAGTTAATTTGATTTAACTACGAAATTTAAAGAATAAATCTATATTAGAGGGTAAGAAGTCATCTTCTTTGGTATCCCTACAATCAAAAAGACAAATTTTTTTTGTTAAAGGTATAAGATCACCATAATTATTATAATGATTATGTTTCGCGCGACGCTTTTTTTGCCGACGTTCTAGTATTTTCGTGTCGTCGGAGGTATCACCTAGGTCGTCTTTTACGTATTCGATGTTGTTTGCTCGAATGATGGCATGGTATGGTTTAAAGGGGTAATGTTCATCCCTGTATTGTCGTCCATAATCTATTATCAATTTATTAAGACGGTTTGAAGCTCCTGGTCGTTTGTCGAAGGGTTTCCTTGTAGTTGCTCCATACGCGAATTTGCGAATACTGGCCATACGTTCATCAAAATTATCAGTCATTTGGGTAAAAAACTCCATAGCATTAGTACGCCTAAGATAATGTTTGGCAGAAGTATTATGATCTTTTATGTCCTTAATGACATTTAACCGTTCGTTAAGACGATCACGAGCTTTGATCTCACTGATGCGATCTTCATCTAAACCTAAAATATGTGCGTCTCTTAAGGATAGCTGAATTGTAGAGTCTTGTATTAAAAGCACAGCATCGATGTATTCCGATGCACCTATACCATAGTGTTCGTCAATAAGATTCTTGATATACCAATTCCTATAAGAATTTTCAGATGTATCATCCCGGCCATCAATGGTTGAAGAAATATCCTCTTCTTCGGAGTCCTGATCCTTGATAGCACTGCGTAGTGCAGAGGTAATGTGAGGAGGGAAAAACCTATCATCAGGTAAATGTAAAAGAGTACAGTTCTGATCGTATGGAAAACGGAATAAGGGAACGCTTGGGAAGCGATTGAATAATCCCAAGTTGAACTTTAAGTGAAAAATCCGTTTATTGATCCTTTGGTACGGATAGAAAAGGAATTTCCATTGATTCGCCAGTCTAATCTTTTGTCGGAGTTTGAGAGCCATCCCAGATTTGGGCTTATTACTATTGAAGATACGTCGACAAGATCGGTCAAAACGAGCTTTTTGTCGTACAGCTGTTCGTGGATTAGAACTTAACATACGAGAGAAATTTTCATAAATCTTAGTGTACATGGGACCAACAGCCTTGTAAGGGGGTAAAAGTGAGTCAAGGTTGTGCGCTTCATAACGCGTTGTATAAGAAATGCCCAATCGATTCGAAAAAATTTTTTGCTTTGAGTTATCATTATATTTTTCATAAATTATGTTGGCGTGAATACTCTTGTGATGAATGATGTTATTCACGGGTGCTGATGCAGCCTTATCCTCTGAGGGTGTATGTGTAATTTGAGCGATGGCCGAATGATGTTGGATACAAGCGTGTCGATTAAAATTTCTAACAAAAGGGCACGGTGTACGACATGGTGTTGTCTTATAATGGAGAGACTTCTTTGTAGGTAAGTAATTACAAGCTACATAGATACCAAAGTGAAATCTGTATCGTTTATAAGAGAAGTTAAAAAAAGTTTTCGTAATGTTGTTACTGCACGTGATTTTTCCTTCACGTGATGCTATCAGATTGAGTCTATCTAACAACTTGAGTCGTATCATGTTAAAAAATTTATTTTGAATACGCCGAGGAATAACTCGTTGATGCAAAAAAAAATGCGTGAGGCACTTTGATATTTGAAATCGATGATTAGGTAATTTGCTTGTGGAATAATACCGAATTGGGGTAGATGACATATAATGATCGTTTGTGTAAATCTTCAGATGAATTTCATTGGTGTCTGGTATTTGATCGACAACCTCAAAAAAGAAACTTTTTGAATGCCTACATTCGTAGATCTTGTTATAACCTGCTTTGGACGCAGCGGTCACGTGAAATTTTTCGAAAGAGACCAAAAAAGAGAAGGTCGGAAGTGTTGAAGAAGGTAGAGGAACGTTGACTAAGATAGTCGGAAGTGTGTTATCCTGTGGTTTAATAGTCGTCTTTGAAACATCGTCTTTAGCAAGTCTGCCTTCAGGAATATATCGTCTGCTATTAGAATGTACGTCCAACTGCGGACAAGGTTTTGAAGGTTCATATGGAGCCACGGAAGAGTTGGGTTGGTTGTAACTTAAAGCTGACATAGTCCCTTAGTATGGGATAAGATAAGAACTAAAAACCTTGTATAAGACCAAGGCGCCCGTTTGGGCCTCGTTCCCTTTAGCGTTTCAAATAGAAACTAAAAAAATAAAATTATCGCAAAAATACTGCGGAAAACAAACAAAAATGAAAAAAGGGGGCATTCATCGGTAATATTAATCGTTCCGGTAATTACCATTGATCAACATCTATATCACGTGATTTCGTCACATTGTTTTTCATCGTAACAATATTATACCTTTTATTGAAATTTTAAAGACCTTTTTATTTTTAACAAGATCAAGGATGTCTTTATCTTCAGCAAATGAATCTATGCTTCAGGCAATTGTTGAAAATCTTCTACCACTAAAATATCGTATTCCAGAGCTTTCATTAGTAATGGATGGTAAAAAGCTAAAGGGATAAGGTCGCTTTGGATATTCAGATATTTTTGTTTTGAAAGGAACAGGAGATAATTATATTAGCTTAGAATTAAAATATATTCCATTAATTGGTTTAATAGTAAATCAGAAAGTTAAATATGGTGCAATTGAATTAGAAAACTTAGATAAAATCCTTGAAAAGGAAGATGAAGAAATTTTATTAAAAAGATCATATACATATTGGTCTAAAGAGTGTAAAAGAACAAACCAAACAACTATAGGTAATAATAGTATAAGCCAATTGAAATCATATATGAATACAATCTCAAAGGGAAGAGTTGCTGATTACTTTAGCCCAAGAATATTTGATGAACGTGTTAAAGTAGTTGAATCAAATCCTAATAAATTGAAAGGATTTGTCATTTTAGTAATTGGTTTCCAACGTATTTTATGGAAACCTGTTGATGAAGTAATATCAAATTATACATATAATATAATTTAAGGTACTATTTTAGCAATACAGTAATTTTATATAAAGTTATTATGTAAAAAATATTAATTCATATATTCATTAATACTTATATATTCATTGTAAAAAATATTTAATATATACATTTATGTATTAACATTAAAAGTTTGTCATGATAATTAATTTGTATATTTTTTCTGAAGTAAGGAGGCAATTTTGCGTACTAAACTTATAGAAACCTCCTGCGTACAGCTATTAATAAAAAATTTGAAAGTTACCTTGCCTTTTATATATGTTTCATTGTTTCGGGGTCTTATTTGACCATAATAAATTTACTGTATTATAGAATGAAAAACCCAGTTCCCTAATTAATTTACCGTCGATATGTTAAAATTTTATATATACGATATCGATATATAGCGCATTTTGATTGATCAATTATCATGTGACTATTTTTTTTGACTACAAATAAATAAATAAATAATACAGTAAAATAAATAAGTTAATTTATAAATATTTTAGATTGATTTTAAAACTTGCTACTTTTAAGATGGTTACTTAAATATATTATATCAGTTGGGTATTGATTGTAGAATCATTTATCAATCATATTGAATTTATTGAGAAATTTTTTCCATCATTTTTAATACCAATAATGTTTACACTATATCCGTTATTACTATTATACAAAACTAAAATGTAGTCGTACATGTACTATATTAATTTATGATTTTATTTATTCTTAATAGCAAAGAATATGTATTATAAATTTTAAATTATATTTTTATAAATTGATCCCTAATTAAACAAACTAATTGATATCAATATGCATAATAATAAATATTGCTTAATTATAAACTGATTTATTATATATGACAAGATAAGTTTGTATCATCCCACCCTATAAATCAGTGTTAAGCAAAACTGAATGTACTTTCTATATATTATATAAACCTCCCGAAATCGAAAAAGATAGTAGCCTATGAATATTTTGATTATAATAATTTATTATTTAATTATTGATGGATTAAACGCACTTTTGTTCGTAAATTAATCAAATCGCTACAGTCAGATTTAGAAACTTCCTGTAAATGATTAGCAGTTAATATAAATAACCTGGTAAATAAACAAGTAAATGAAGATCAAATTATTACCCGAATATTTCACGGTCGATATATTATCATACATTTCATAATAATTATCAGAATTCTTTAGTTCAGAAAGATTTTTGAAGCTAAGTGGGCTGCTTTTATAAACAGCTTCAGGATGTATTATATTTGTTAAAGATGAATCATCAGTTGATGAAACATTATTAATTTTTCTGCTTCTTCAATTTGATTAATTAATTCTGTTTTAATTAATTCCGGTTGTTCATTCATGTACAGCACCTAACAAAATCTTTCAACCATTCTTGAAAGATCTTTTGCATATGTTCGATTTGATGGGTTTGCATCTGAGCAGCTTTTAAATCTCGATGAATTAAATCTTTAATATAGAATTTTTCTAAGCCCAAGTGGAATATGGAATAAAATATAAATCTCATGTACTTTTATGCAACATTGTTTTTTCATTGTTCAATGAATTCCGTAGATTACTTAGCATAATTCATAACCATAATATAATCTTTTGTATTGGGATCTTGAGTTTTTCCGTGACATTTAATAATAATTTGATCTGATATCTTATATTCGTGAACTTAGATAGTATATTGTAACCTAATTATTTTAAACAAATTTATTGACAAAACCAGTGTATGATTTTCAAACTTAAACATGTGTGCGGATAGCGCACACCGTATGGTGGGATCATGTGCGGAAATTGTAATGGGTAGTGCGCAAATGTCGCAAAGCGAAATAATTTTTTAATGGTGCGCAAAAAAAAATTTTTATCACCATATTATGTAAATTTAGTTACTAAGTTTTTTTAAAAAAGAAGAAGTGCAATGTAATAATTATAGTTACACAATACTTTTATTTTTCTTACAAAATTGAATATTCTTTATTAATTGAAAATGATAATCTCATAGTGTCAAAATTGTGCGCAACTGTACGAGATATGTGCGGAACTGTGGCGGAACTGTTCGGGTTTGTGCAACTGTGCAGAAATTGTGCGCAAGCGCACACTTCCGCACTACCAAAATCACACACTGAACAAAACTATAATTTTTAAAATTTAATAAATCAGATAACTAACATGATATAATTAAGATACCTCATTAATAAATTCCAATGAAACATTTTGTGAATTATTCAAAACTTTAAGAGCTACAACCCTATAAAAAATTTTTATCCGAATATTTCCATTATTTCTCCGTGTCTTCCATAAAAATTCCGTGAAAATGATACATTCACGATATCCGTGTTAGCGAGATGAAAATTTCCATGATTTAAGGCTATAAATTCCATGAAAATGATACATTCACGGAAAAAACATGGAAAGATAAAACACGGATCAGATTTTTTACAGGGCAAACATACCATCACTATGTCTTTTGTATCTCGAAATATAGCCACTTTTCCAACTTGCTCTATATATCTTTCCAAATCCATCTGCGATATATTTAGGATTTTATATTTGGAAATTATTTTTGCTGATAACTGTGTTTGAATGAACTTATCAATGTCATCATTACTACTAGTACGATTATGAAAATTTTATTGAATTACAAGATCGACAACCTGTATATTTTTGGTAACATGTTCCGTGTTTTGGCTCTTTTTCATCTAATTGATTCATTCACAAATTAAATATTTGGTAAATTTTGATACCCAAAGATTTTGATAAATAAATGTAACAATGTCAACACAATAGATAGACGTATTTATATCTTAATAATTGACATGGCTCTTATGACAAGGATCATGCTTTCGATAATGTAACCATTCTTTCTAATATTTATCTTTTTATTAATAATAATATTAATATTATTATTTGTTTATAGAAAGCTTATTCAGGTTAAGAGTTTAAGCTTTTTATGGAAAGGATCAGTAGGAATAAGACCAATCATGTTGATGCTAGTAACAGGGCCATTCACAGTAAAATTCTAGTGCGAGAAAATTTATTAATAGTATCGTTCAAGTTATACATAAAATATATACATTTTATTTTTTTTTATTTTTGTAAAGAATTTATTTTTTTTTTTAGCGGCAAAAGGAAAAAAAAGGAAATATGTATCACTCCATTCATCTATAGATTATCATAAATCTTTAATTTCCATAAGTTGCGAATCTTTATGGCACTCCATAAGCATAAAAAGAATATACATAAATTATTATTTGAATATACATTTTGTTATAATCAAATAACCATTTTTACATATGTAATGATAACTTTTATATATTCACATGTATAAAAGTGGTCATTTGAATATGTAAAATGTTTATTCAAATAATAATTTACGTATATTCTTTTTGTGCTTACGGCGGGTCATACAAAAATGAAATTATACCGGAATTGTGTGATACGGAATATATTAAAACGCAAATATACAAAACGTATCATTTCCGTATATAGATTTTTTATAAAGCAATCCAAATGATCGACATAATTTATAAGCTGCACAAAATCTCAGCCAAAAAACAAGTCAATTGGGTGCTAAAAAATTCCGGGTTCAGCACTTCAGGTCTTCAGCGATCTGATAATAAATTACTTGTCAAATATGGGAATGTAAAAAATGTGATCCACTTATCAACACAGTAACAAAAATTTTCTTTTTTATATTTCCATTAGGGTCACAAAATCTTTATATTATGAAATTCGGCATATTTCAACGCCAATATTAATTAACTACATATATAAGTGGGGAATTTAATCCCTCCCCCAAAAATTACATTCCTTTTGTAAGATAACATAGTCGAAAAAGGCAGCCAGTCTACAGACACTAAAAAAAATGACCATACAAGACAATTGCAAGAAGAATTACGTTGCTAATCTCAACAATAACTATATCACTAAAGTTCTAGCAACCGGTCCTGTTCTAGAGGCGCAACGGGCTACATTTAGTAATCTGTTCACGCAATCTTTTTCCCATGCATACCGTGATTTGCAACTTGACCTATTTGACCTACCGCAGGAACAAACTTTGAGTTCATATCTTGAGCATTCCTTTAATGCTACTTGGTCTCTAATACAATCGGGAAAACTACAATTATGGGTCGAGGTTTCTAGAGACTCTTCGGAACTTGTGGTTGGTTTCATATGTGTCCAAACAAAAGACGATATCTGTTATATCGAGCAGTTTGTAGTTCATCCAGATTTCCAACGCATTAAGATTGGTTCAAATCTCATCAAAGCGGTTGAAGAGCGTTACCGTCTCATCTGGCTACATACGCGTCATATTAATGAGGTTGCAATTTCATTCTACACGCGAAATGGCTTTATTCGCTCAGATGCTGATGACGGTGATATGGCGTATCCCATTGAGTTTCCCTCACGTTCTTCAAAAACTTTTATGCTGATGAAAAAAGTGATATCTTGATAACGAATAAAAGGTTTATTAGTATTAGATTAAAAATTTGAATTTGATGAGTAATAGTTTTATTTAATTATAATTAGAATGACAATATGTAACGTATTTTATATTTTAATTAAATGTAGTTGAAATACTTTTTTTTATTTTAAATTGGGAAATAAACAAACATTATTAAAAAAATCTTCTCATTTATTTTAAGAAACTTCTTAACTTCTCGATACTAATTCACTGTTTTCCAGGACATTTTTTCAATGTTTAAAGTTTCAAGATACATAAATTACTTTGGTGATGAACTGGATATATTTAAGTAATTATCCACCAGTTGTAATATTTATTGTTCATTACTCATTCTCTTTGTATTTAAATGTTTTTCAGGCTTGATTTGTACCGTTATAAAATTTATTGAGAAGTTATTGAATTTCAACTTAAATTCTTCAAGATTATAGATTATTAAGTGTGAGGTTTTTTTTGTTTAGAGGAAAAATATATATATATATGAACTAAGTAACGAAAGAGAAAGTAATGATAGAATGATGGAGGAAGAGGCTAATCCAGTTTCGACTAATGAAATTTTGAAAATTTTGATCAGATTTATTTTTTTATTTTACTAACGAAAAAGGTTAACTTGGGACGATCAGCAGCCGCAGTAGAACGTTGATTTTTTTTAAAAAAAAAATTTTTAAATATATTTTTATCTCAGTTTTTTTTATTATTTTTTTTTATTACTTTTTATTACTTTTTATTCGGTTTATTACTTTTTTTTTTTTAATTTCATTTTTTCACCTTTTAGGTTTGGATCAGACCAGAACTGCTATAATAAAGATTTATAAAAAAAAAATATCCAGCCAAAAAATATAAGTATTATTTATTTCATGGGGAATAATAGGGTTTTTTCCCCGAAGGGAAAAAATCCGAAATCAGTGACACTTCACACTTGGGATTATTTTGCCACCTCTATCACGTGATTCAATTAAATTAGCATGACGTAAGTATCGATCATCTCTTATTTTAACTAACTTTTTTTTTGTAGGTGCTTTCTTATCTTGACTTTGGGGCTTCCGGTAATTTTTTTTTAACATTCATATTTTTTTGTTAATTAACATTAACTCTCTCTTTAATTCTTTTCAGCTTTAGATTTTGGTATCAGGGTCCAAGTAAATACACTTTGGTTGGAATTTTTTTTTGTGATTTAATTTCATTACTTTATTTCGTTTTGGGCTTCACCTTTTTTATTTCATTTTTCACTTCATCTTTTATCACCTTTTCATCCCTTATCGTTTCTTTTCATCATCCTTTCGCCTTTTCTCGTCTCTTCATTCCTCTTTCATTCCTAATTATTCTTTTCATTCCCTCATCTTTCTTTTTATTCCCCTTTCGTTCGTCATCATTCTTTTCTTCCTTTTCGTCCTTTATCAATTTATTCATCATCTTTTCGTCTCCTACCTTTCTTTTTATCACCCTTTCATCTCTCATCGTTCTTTTTGCTTCCCTTTCATCCTTTATTTTCATTTTTTCATTTTTTCATTTTCTTTTTATGTTTCTTCGTCTTTTATCACGGTTTACCTTTTTTTTCGTTTCTCATCATCTTCTTTCGTGTTTCTCATCATCTTCTTTCGTTTCTCATTATCATCTCTTCTCCTTTCTTTTGATCCCCATCATCATCTCTCATCATCATCATCATCTCATCTCCTTTCTCTTGATCTCCATCATCATCTCTCATCATCATCTCTTCTCCTTTCTTTTGATCCCATCATCATTTCTCATCATCATCATCTCTTCTCCTTTCTTTTGATCCCTATGACCCCATCATCATCTCTCATCATCATCTCATCTCCTTTCTTTTATTCTTCATCATCCTTCTCTCTTTTTTTGATCCCCTTTTACCTTAATCTCTTTTCACACCTTTTCCTTTCCTTTCACTCCTATCATATTTTACTTTATCCCCTTTTACATCTTTTCATTATTTATTTTGTTTTTTATTATTTTTTATTTTATTTTTTTTACCATTGTAATTTGTTGTTAGATGCTATTGTGTTTATTACGTACTGTTAAAAATAAATAATGTTTAGCTTATTTAGTAAATAGTTAACTAAAACGTACTGAAAAATTTTGTCACATATACAGTAAATATAATTTTTAATTTTTTTTATGCCAATCAAATTTTACTTTAAATCACATGATACGGTGATATTATTAAATTATATCAATACTTATTTAATATTGTTCTTTTTTATTATTAATTATTATAATTTATTTTATTTAATATAGTAAAATTTTAATCAATATTATTTTTCACTCACCAAATTATGAATAAGTAAAAGCTCTGAATTAATACTATAATTATTGTTATTACTTATTCTAAATTCATCACAAGAAGCTTGACTATGGTAACAAATTAATTCATTGCAAGACTCTTGACTTCGTTTAACAAATAATTCATTATTTATCATAGGAAGCAATCTGCTGGTGTATACGGCCTCTGAATGTATTTTGATCTTTGGTAGCTTTTTGATCGTACTATGATTTCTATCAGCTTTGCTCCACACATCATCACCTTCAAAAATATCATTCAACCATTTCTCTATTTCTCTTACAATATTTGCAATATTTGGCCTTTCATTTGGATTTTTATGCCAGCATTTTTGCATCAGCTCTTTATAACATTCGGGAGTTCCTTCGACGATCTCTGGACGAGACCCATCACAGATCTGAAGCGCAAGGTTGAGATCATGTGGAATGTTAGGGAAAGGTCTATGGCCTGAGGATAACTCCCACATGATTATTCCAAAACTATAAATATCAGACGCCTGGGTGAACGGTTTACCCTTAACAACTCTGGAGCTACATACAGCATAACACCGTAAACTTTTTTTTTGGATACTGATGAGTCTGCAGGATGACACAATCCCAGATCTCCAATACCCGCATAATTTACATCTATGAGGAGATTTCCACTATGAATATCTCTGTGCATCAATCCTTCTGAATGAATAGTATTGAGACCACGAGCAATATCCAAAAGATGATCAAGACATTTAGACCAAGTCAAGTCAGCAAAGTTTTCAAAAAGATATTTTCCCAAGTCTCCACGGGCACAGTATTCTAAAACCATTATATATCCTTTGGATTTCGGATCTTGTGAAATGCCGTGACAACGAACAATTTCTGAGCAAGTATTAGAATTTCTGTATAATTTTAAGTGCGATGTAGTCTGCAAATAAAAATTATTGTTAAAATTGTAATTTGTAAATAATTAAAATTAATTTACGTATATCGATATTACCTACTTAGAAAGTCTGATGAAATGTTATGAGAGTTGTACAGCATTTTCAAAGCAACAGGTACACGTGGCCATCTAAACCATTGTTTCTTCTTGCGATCCCAATACAGAATAGGTCCATTCGACCAGGTTGCCTTAAAGACTTGCCCAAATCCACCCTTACTAATAAATTTGATGTCAGTGAATTGATCGTAAGGTATCCACTCAAATGTACTCTCATAATGGGATGTGTTAATTTGAGTTTTTCTTATAAGTTCATCAATATTGTTGTTACCGCTAGTCCAAGAAGGAAATTTGTCAATAAAGTGCTGACTATTACAGGATGTACACCACGTACTCCAATCATCACCAAAACTATTCAAATTGCCGCACTCTTTGCAAAATCCATTTTCCGATACTTTATTTGACGTTTCAGAGACAGAATACCCTCTATATAGAGCCTTGACCTTTGATATGTGACTATCCATCCTATATATTGTTATAATATATGGAGATGAATATACCGTACTGTATGTGGTCGATTATATAAATGCTGGTAAGCCCGCACAGTAATAATCTTGTATTAATATTAATAGGAAGTCCTTACTCCTTAAAAAAAAAGTTATAGTTTAGAATTTAGACGCGAATGTGACTAGCAAAATTGCGATCATTAAATATGAAGTTCTCACAACTTATTTCTTTTTAAATTTTAAATTTCAGAATCGGTAAAACTTCTGTAAATAGCTTCCATTTTCTTAAATATAGCATATTCACGGAATTTATAACCTCAGAGAATGGAAATTACTACAAAGTAGTAGTTCATAGATTGGTTTCGGGTGTTACAGAATTATGTGTCTTTGTAGAAAAATTTGTAATTACTAATTGTGCGTAAACAATGACTTTGAATTAAATATAATATTGCCTCTTTAGAACAAAAAATCAGCTGATAATAAACCTAATCATTATTAACGGTAATGACTTTATTCTTCATCCTGATTTTTGCTATTAAAAGTTAATAAGTAATAACTTACCGAATAACTTTTAGTGAATTTTAAAATGAATAGCGTACGTTTTTTAATAAATTGATTGCCCGGTTCCTTTTTATAAACATTATAAACAAATCAAAATCCGAAAATATAAAAAGAAAAGTTTGTATTATAATATTCCTGAGTTACATATTGTAATTAGCTTAATATTGTAACAATATATATTTTTTTATGATAGTAATTATGGTTTAAATCTTAGCTTAGTATGGATTTCAATAATTATATTGATTAGGGATTTTCTAACTAATTATATTGATTAGGGATTTTCTAACAAAGAGACGTAATACAACCACGTGATATAGCTGATTACGCATGTAATTATTGGAAGACCATATGTGTTGTACTTCATGATGCAGCAAAAAGAAGATAGTATAGAATTTCGGTCCTCACTCCTCAGTCATCAGACATTGCAAATTTGTGCAATATTTTTCCGAATATATTTTTGAATAAGAGTTATTTACATAATGTATTAATGTATACTTATTTTCTTTTGTGTTTTTTACTTTGTCTAATTTGTTTATATTGATTGTCATGACGCAGGTAAAATGAATATATCAAAACATGCTACTCCGGATATTTATACTATATTGGTTTATCTTATTATTATAAGTCCCAAATTGGTTAATTTTAATTTTCAAATAGAATATACATAGTTTTTTTTTCATCGGTTTCGTCCAAAATCAAATAAAAAAAAAAGGGATAAGGATCATATTACTAATAAAAATTATATTACTAGATTGTAAAACAATAAAAAATATATATATATTTACTTTCTTTTTTGATATAATTCAAATTTTTTTGTTATCGATCGCTTTTTCTAATGAATTTATTACGTGAAAAAGAATTTTTTTTATTTTTGATTTTAAGAATTCTGTAAATTATGTAACATTACCTTATCTTTACGTTCAAGAATGTGTTTACCATAAAAAAAATAAAAAAATAAAAAAAAGAGAAATAAAAAGATGAAAAAAATTAAATATTATAAAATTTTTATTAATTATAATATATTATTGTAAAGTATTAACCAATTTATATTATAAAAAAAAGACAATTAATGAAAATTATATAATACACAAATTATTATTCTAATTGCCTTGTTTTATTTAATGCAACCTTCAGCCCACAAAGAAGTAAAATTTTTTTTATTCTCACTAACGATTAGTAAATATGCGTATCTAATTGAGTTACTTTTATGAAAAGAAAAAACTAACAATTTATAACAAAGCGGACATCTCTATATCATCACGAATTTGCCGATCATTTATTGACGTTGCCACATAAGAATATGTGTCTATTTTTATATTATCCAAAAATGTGATATAACTGTTGTGCCCCAAGTTGACGATTGCCCCAAATCAACGATCGGCCTAAATTATCAGCCCATCTTTATAATGCCTTAAGAATTTTCAAATCATTACTTTTCACATACAGTATAGTAATCATCGATGATTATTGTCAATTTGGGGCATATTGAGATTTGGGGCACAACAACAATAAGGTAAGTTACATTTGGGATCAAAAATTAGAAATATTGATAACTCTGTGAACTTTAATGACCTGATGATAAGTTTAAAACATTGTATTCTAGGAATAAAAAAGAAAGTGATTTAAATTTACCAATTTATTTACAAAAACGAAAAAAAATACATCCAACATATGATAATAATAAAAAATACCTAGCTATTAAATAAGTGTATCAAATATTAGCTGAACTGCAAATATCTTTAACTCATAATTGGCTTATTTCACTAAAACTACAATTTATTATTAATCAACCTAACAAGGATATGGTTTCTCTTTAGTTTCTCGATAATTTCACCAGTTACAAAAGATATTTCACTTGTCACTTCCATACTTGGCATTTTCGTACTTAACATTTCCCGATAACTACTATTTAAAAAATCATTTTAAAATAAGTAAAACTTTGAATTAACTTCATTTTTATTAATATTTACTAACCTTAGAGCAAAATATATAAATCCTTTATTTGAAAATCAATGAGAAAATTATCCTAAGACCAAGTAATAAGAAATACTTCCATGAATTGGTTGTTAATCCTATTGAATGAGTAAGAAATATAAGAATTAAAAAAAGAAAACCGATTACAAAACAAAATTTCCCTCAAATTTTTTAACGTCCGTTTTACAGGAGGATAACGTATAACCTCAATTTTAATATTATCACTAGAATTATATTGAACTGAGTTGTAAATGATTTATTGTTATTTATTAGAACTTATCTATGTTTAAAATTTTTGAGACCATCGTTACCAAATCATAAACAATTGATTAACATGCCATTCATTTAACATTAAAATTTGTTTTGTTCCACATTTACCAAAAAAGTATTAATCATAACTTTAATTAGACTAGTTTGTATGTAGTATACTGCTACGTATTGCTGTTTCATTGGCCTTGTTAATTTAATCATCATTCGTATTCATTCCCTTTTCTAATTGAAAATATCAAGCTTTTTCCAATTTTTTAATATATTTTCTCTTAATAAACAAAATTTTGTTATTTTTCTTAAAAGTACTATCATTACAGTACTCTTTAAACCTTCAAAAGTAATTTAGTCCAGTCTTGATAATGGTCTTTAACTTATTCTAAAATTCTTTCTTATTATCTGTAATTTGATTGTTCATATTTTTTATTCTATGGGTTCCATTAGTTTTTTCCATGATTCCTTTTGATTATTTCTCTTACATCATCTAAAAGTAAATGCTCCTTGTTTTTATTCTTGTCTTCTCTTACTTTAAAATTTTTAATTCTTTTCTATTATGCTAAATATTTCTACTTTTATTATCGTAAAAATGGTCTTTATTAAGATAAGATCCTTATTTATAGTGAGTATTGTATTTCTGGTTCTACTTCATGATTTGATTCTGTCCTACTATCTCGCCACGCCGTTCTTTTCAATTTTGCCCTTTCTATTTTTAAATTTATGATTCTCTCAATAATTATTCAATTCGTTATTTGTTAAATATTCATGAAAAAATTGTCTTCCATTATTATCATATTGGTACGCCTTTTCCTATATTTTAATTTTTGTTACAGTAAAATTGTTTGTTCTTATATGTAGTATTTAATTATAATAACATTTGTTAAATTATAACCTTTCTATAATTTTTTTTCAATGATTTTTTATTGTCATATTTGTGACCTAAGATTATACAGTAGTTATTTTCTTTGTATTTACCGTAAATGATATACTAATTCTTTCATCTTCTGTATAGATGACAAGATCTATTCCATTGTTTTGGTAAACTCAGATATTCTTAACCCGTATTCCCGTAAACCATTTGTTCATTTTATGGTAGAGACCACGTGTTATAAAGCACGTGATTTGAGCATCTGATCATTAGTGTTACACTGTATATCCGCCGAACTGCAGAATGCATATTACGCAATTTATCACATGTGGTACGTAACACCCTTAAAACGTAAAAGTATAAATTACTCTTTGCCCTACGTTGTAATGCCGTAGTATACATAGTAAATTTATTAATTGTGAGGCGCAGTATTATATTTAATCTTAGTGTATAAAATTTTAATTTATTTTTAGTTGTATTAATAATTAGACCGAAAAGTCGTTAAACTATTGATCAGGTGATTCAAGGATAATTGGTCCGAGATGACATTAAACTATCAGTCACGAGATTTAAGGATAAATAAAGATCCGAAAGATACTAAATTAAATGAAGTCAAGTGATCTGAGGTGTCAAGTGATTAACTTGCTGATCATTACTTTAATATTATAAATCATAATTCAGGAGGTCACGATGATCAAATGGATACAGAATTAAGATAATGGAAATACTTTGATAATTTAAATCCATGAATCGAAATTATGAATTTGGTTACACTAAAACAAATATAAAAGGGTGTGAAGATCACCTTTTGAGAAGGACATTCTTGGATGAATTTCAATTTAATGTTATTAAACCAAGCATATTATTGTATTTATTTATATTATTAATAAAGAGATATTTTGTTAATACCTAAGGTGGCAACGTGATTTATCACGGGCTTAGGTGTTACAAGTGGTGCATGCTCCGAGAAAGGAAAAGTGATCATCCTCACATGATCACTACAGGTTACGAATAGGAGGATTTCCGAGAAAAGAAATGATCATTTATCACATGATCATCACAGGAAAAAGATTTAAAATCTTTCACCTAAGGATCGACAAAATTAAGAAGTTATAAAATTAAAAAGTTTAAAGTCTTGGTTGAAAAAGAATTTAAAAATGTATTAATGTTAAAATTTTAAGATATGCGAAAATAAAGGTTACCGATAAAAAAAATATTAATTTGAATAAATATAAACATGTATGTAAAAATAATGTTCAAAAATTATAATTTTTGATCTAACTTGACCACCGGCTGATAAGTCAATGAAAAATTATTATTAAAATAATTTACATACATATGAAACAAATATGAATGGAAGTAATTGATTATCAAGGGAAATGCGAGGCTAATCAAGTTAGAAGGGGTTTTGAATAAAAATATTGTAAATAATTGAATGAGAGGATTAAGATTAAGTCTTGTATGAACTTTGATCATACTAAGTGTACCCAGAGCTGACACTATAAATTAAGATGGCGGGGATAATATAAAAGTGTACCCAGAGCCGACACTATAAATTAAGATGGCGGGGATAATATAAAAGTGTACCCAGGGCCGACGCTATAAATTAAGATGGCAGGGTTAATACTGTGTGATTCTGTGTGATTCTGTGTGAACTCAATTGAGGTATTCTGTGTGATCAATTGGGAATAGGTCTGAGAAGGACCTTTAAAGATAATTCTGTGTGAACTTAGCTAAGAATAATTCTGTGAGGGTACCCAAGAAAAATTATGATTAACGTTAACAAGAATTAAAATAATATTTGCTGGACAAATATACAAAGGTTAAGGATGAATTAAAAGTAATAAAATATGTAGGAGGGAGATTTGGATCTCCCACTTATTATTTTAAATATAACAAAATAATGATAATAACAAGATAATAATAATTGTAACAGGAAATTAATTTAATGAAGAAGAAATGGGAAAATATGTGTATAAAAGGAATTAAATTAAAGATACATAATGAAATTGTTGAAATCAAATATGGAATCACACTCCAACCTTAGGTTGGGAATTTTAAGGAAAAATATAAATTTATTTGTACAAACCTGTAAACTACCATACTCAGTAATGAACAAATGAGGTAAAGGCAAGCCCAGTATAGGTCAAATAAAATATAAAAGAAGGATAAAAAGTAAAAAATGTGAAAATTTTCAGAGAATTTTATTAAAAATGGAATGGTACCATGTTTGGAACGCTGGATATATAAACCATAAACGAGAACATGACCTAGGAGTGATAGAACCAGAGGAATGTTTAGCATGTGAAATATGTAATCCAATAGAAAGAGAAGTATCAGCAGCATTCAAGAAATTTTGGGATGCTTTATTTAAATTCGAGGATACAATACTAATGTACAATAATGTAACACATAAAGAATTATTGAATTTATTAAGTATGGACAATAGAGAAAGGGAGGATACAATACATAAAGGAAAATGTAGGAATATAGTAGATAGAATAATTGAATCAATAAGGTACAGACAACAACCGAAAATGAAAGAAAAAGGATTGAGAATAATAATAGTAGTGATTGTAAGGGATTGTATTGAAGGAGACTTAGAAAATGAAGTATTTGATCGATTAATTGGATGTCCAGAAATAATGGAACATGGATACATTTTAGAAGATTGGGATGTTGAAAATAGATTTCAAAAATTTTGGGATTGGTATAACACGATATTGGAAAATGAAATGAAAGCAATACATGTTAAGAAGTTAGCAATAAAGTTATTCAGGGATTTATTGTATAAAGAAACAGAAGATCTGTTGAGGAGGGAAGAGGTAGTTGAATTAATAATCCAGATAGAATATCAGAATAGATGGGGGGTAGACACTCAAGAAGAAAAGGATGCATGGAAGAGATTGATACAGAAAGTAAGACAAAGATTTATTGACACCAAACAATTTACAAGGGAACCTGAGGACCCAGAAAGTGCTAGTCCTGAAAGTTATGAATTAGAGGACAGTGATGGTAGTATACATTATGAAATAAAAATAGAGGA